ATGGTAACTACATATGCAAGAGGAATAGAGGGTCTTTTGTTACCATTATGGAGCAGAACGGCTTTCAAAGTTGTTTTAGACGAATCAATAAATAGACGCCATTCGTCCGGGTTATGTGCAAATCCCAATTTTTCCATCACACCATTTGGATTTACACAAACACACATCTTATCCTGCATAGTAAAAAACGAGGATAGCTCATTGTTACGGTTCCTAAATATTGTAACTTTGGTTTTAGGGGCTAGTATATTCCATTGTTGTGATCTGTACCCCAATAGTTCAGCATTCTCTCTGGACAAGTGGAGGAAAAGGGGAAGGTAAATTTGGAATGTCTTGTTTATTAAATTTTTGTGAAAAAAATTATAACTCAAAAATCTCACGTGTTAGGTAATTTTTACTATCATTTTTGCATTTAGGAACCAACAATTAACAATGAATTGCCTTTGGCATTACAGTCGTAAATTGGCTGTAAACTAGTGGTTTTTTTTCTGCCCTGATTTTCCATTTACCTTTTCTCAGTTGTTTCTCATTTTTGATATGACACCATTTCTGACTAACTCATTCGAACATTTTGATCCTGTTATTTCTAGCATTTCTGAATATTTTCCAATAATTTCAATAATTCAAATTGATATTACATGGGAAGTATCTTTATTAGTATGGGCTAATATCTCCAAAGTTAGTGAAGATGGAAAATTTATATCACATAAAATATCTACAAAGAAATTCAATTCTTTACTAGCCAGGAGGCTGATCTCCAAAATCTCACATTGAAGCCTATTTCTATACCGATATCATTTTGAAGGCCTTGAAGAAACAAAAAACTCTGCACAAACTAAAGGTCTCTACGGTCACCTGTTTTCGATTAATGAGGAAGAATATTAATGAATGCCAGTAGTGAAAAAAATTTCATTTAATTTCAGGAGATATTTGAAATGAACACCATCAACATCTTTACAATAATTTAGTCTACTTTCTAATCCCCACTTACGTTTGTCAGGATTCCTGATGATTGAGTAGAGCATCTGTGATACCTTGTCGTGGTTCCTGCGAATTTGATGTATTTGTTGAAAATACCCACTCCTCCACACAACCCCGTCTTCTACTCCCAATCCAATACTAGAAATTTCCTCATTTAGGTATTTCCTTACTGAATATAAGAATGTGGTGATGCCCAGTTCTGCTAAAAAAATTGGATCGTAGTCGGAAGTATCTTTTTTAGTAGCAGCAACAATCCCAAGTGAGAGCTCTTCAAATAAGCGTCAGGTAAGATTTTGGTCCATAAAAAAGGACTGATTAGCGTATTACTCATATTTTTCATTTACCAGGATTTAATAGAACCATTTACAAAAAAGCTGCTTTATCACCGAAACATATTCAATAAAGGCAGTGTGTTTGTGTGGCAAATGAATGTTTAATTGTTTCACAAATTTGCCGTCTACAATCTAGGACATCTTCATTTATTTCTTGGACAAGATGAATTGTAAAGGGATGAAAATCATATGATTTGAAAATTGCATGAACTATTAATATACATGAATTTCATTAATTCGGAATTCCATTGTCTGATATTATATAAAATTATTTGAAATCCCTGAAAGAACTAAAAATGAAGAATCAAAAATTGAAGAAGAAGAATAAAAATGAATAGCTGTAAAAAAAAAACATTAACTAAGCAAAAAACCTGAACTGAAATAATAGTGAAATAAAATACAAGTAAAAATTTCACTATTACTTCATTATTTCATTTCAGGTTTTTCTACCTGTAATTGCTTACGAGTGCGAACAATAGAATAGAACTTGTCATCAGCGTTCATAAATCTTATTCCAATTTTTCAAGAACCATTTCTCAAGTTGCGATCGATCCTTCCAAGTGATGAAGGACGTATGGGAACAACAAACCAGCTAAGGGAAAACTGTGAATATCCATAGGTTTTTCAAATGTTTCATACAGGCAGATTTCAGCCGTCAAATCTTTGAGACGAGGCCATATTATTGAATACGACTAGTTACTATTTAAAAAAAATAGTTTCATTTTTTTAAAAACACATCAAATTCATGCAGTAATTCATAGGGCTGAACTAAAAATTCTGCATACCTTTTCAGATTGTAGAGAATCGTTATATCATATATTAGCTGAAGTTATACAGCCTCGATGTTCCCTTTTGTCCTTTTTGTGGTCATGGGTGTGCTAAATGGGTGGTTCTCATTCATTAATTTTTTCTCACTCATTATTTCGTTATATCATATTATTATGTATTGCCTTTCGTCATTCAGCATCAATGTACAGTTTTGCTCATTTGTGAATATTTCTCATTATGTAAATCCTTCAATTGATGCAAATAAATTATAATAAATGAAATTAGGAAACTAATACATAACAATGTAAAAAAAAACGGAAACATAACATTCTGTTATGATTTCATATTGATTCAGAAAACTGAAATAAAACCATCAGGTACCTGTGCAACGTCTTCCATTTGGAAGATTCGTCTCAAGTGAGTTTCTATATATGAAGAGCTGAAATTAGTTCCATTCGGTCGGGACGACCACCCATAGGCCGGTTCCAGAGTACTAGCTCCTCGTCAGTACCGAGACGGTCACTTTTGACGGGGAGAACCGTCTGAATACCCCGAACAAAAAAATCTATTTCAACTAGTCATAAGCTTCATCTGCAGTTGATTGAGTAGGATGTACAACTGCACCATCTGCAGACAAAGTCCGGAAACAACTCCACAAACACATACTCTGGGATTGGAGTCAGAAGTTGAACATTTTCCGTAGAAGTGCATTTGGTATGCTCAAGTTCAGGTGAAAACACCTCACCCTTGCCTCTCATGTGGACCCCGGATTTTGTAGGTACGCGTGGCAGATATCCGACGGATATACAACAACTAACCCAGTTAATGTCGTGCAGAAAGCTGATGTAAAACCATCAGGCATTTGTGCAACATCTTCCATTCGTTGTAAGTAACTTCATACATATAAAAATCTGAAATTTATTTTATTTGGTCGGGGCGGTCACCAATATACCGGTTCAGAGGACTAGCTCCTCGTCAGTGCCGGAAGGGCCATTGCAGGTGGAGTGAATTGTCTGAGTATGCCGTTACTCGAAAATCAGTTCAGCATATTCCTGTCCCTGAGAACCTTAGATTTAACATTTGAAACCTTCACGGGGAGAGAGGTCATACCTATATAGTAGGAAGCAGATCGTGTAAGGACAGTCTACTTCCGAACACGTAACAAACATCACTTCACCTATATAGTAGGGAGCGAATCGAGTAGGGTCGGTCAACTTCCGAACACTTAACAAAAATCACCAGTGGATGACAACTGATACTTTGTTGAAACGTCGTGAGTTCAATCCCAGTGAGGATTATAATACAGAACACGGATCAAAACGCGAAAATCAGGCCAAAGTTGCTTTCTTCTTCCCAAATCATCCCAGATGATATAATCTAGCGCGAAAATTACTTCTTTGTTTTCTAAATACAAACTGAGGACTCGTGAATGAGTTATTTATTTTCAACAATGAAGGTATTCGTATTGCATTCATTTCGTTTGATAACAATGTTGTATCTCCTGATCTGAATATTGTTATGACACTTTCGCGATTTTCGATTCAACTGAAAACCGCCAGTTACTAAAATATTGTTCAGTTTATGAGTTATTGGTTTTATTAATGACTGTAGATTTCATTTATCCATACCTAAGGAGTTTTCGTAGATGTCAGATGTCCTTCTATTCGAAAATTCAATACCAGATATATTTATTACGTACTGAAAATGTATTAATACATTATATGATAACCATTCAAAATTGAATCAGCGGATGCCCGTTTCAGCTCTGTTCCTTCACTTGTTTCTGCCTCTCTCAGATATCAGTTACCTCGTATTACCCAATTTTCATAGTTCCCTCCACGTGTACATTCACACTTCCTTGGCATACATTATTCTCATTACTCCGCTCAGCTCTTAAAGACAATTGCGAATCTTAATAAACGTCTTTATTCTTAATTAAAGTAACACTAGCATTCCAAAGCACACTAACTACTAAAATCATCAGATCTTCCTAATGCGGCACACACATAACACGTAAGAAAAGACACTTTCTACTAATGGCGACTCAGGAATTCTTAAAGGGAATTACTAAACTTTAGGCCTTTTGTGCCACCTAATGGATATGAAGAAGCTGAGGAGTTGTTTTTGGATATCAGGCTGATGTATAATGCTCTCTATAAGAATTTATTTCGTTGATGAGGGCGTATTTCAATTAACGGGCACACTTGGGAACTATGATATGCATATCCTCGGAATGAAGGTGTTGGGAAATATTCGTGTCAAGGAAGAAGCCAGTCAACTTGGCAGTTTTCATAAAATTATATTATCAGTCAACGTAGATGTCGAAGATTTTCTTCACGCATTCCCGGATCACACAGGAGAAATAATAGTGAATCATAAGATTCTTAAAGCACTCATCACAAACGCTATTCGTCTGACCATCACCAATTTATACTTGCTAACTTGGTGATAACTCTCAATAGCACTCTAACAATACCAACTAGAGTGTCACCGTTCAAAAAAGTTGTAAATTCTAAACCACTGGTAATTTATGCTTGCAATGATAAATCTTTGAACGCAAATATAACCATGAAAGAACTTTCAAATGTTCATCTAATGTGATGATTACCTCTTCTGGACCTGATAATATTCATCACAATTTCTTGACCTAACTTTCATCATATCCCAGTGACCCACAACAACTTTTTTTTCGAACTCGTGAAATTGAAACAAAAGAGTTTCGTTCTTATTTCAATCGAAGAAAATTGATAGTGGTTGCAGAATGATTCCAAAATATGTTTATTTGTGATATGTAATGACAGTATGGCTGTGTTCATCACACATAATCTGATATATCTCTATTTTAAGTATCACTAATCCGTCTATCAGAGACTTGTAAACTTCACACAATATATATAAATGCAATAATATCATCTCAACTTTATTTATTCTCTATCCTATCGCCATGAAAAGTGTTATACTCTTTAGTTTTTTTACTATTGTCTTCTCTGGACCGGGTGAGTTATTACCGCGTCAAAAACAATTACATTCTGAGCCCACACATAATTTCAATGAGCAGAATTTGAAATAAAAAATTGGTATTGACAGTTAATTCCGATCATCTGGGATTCGAAGAAATCATTTTATGATTTTCATTTAGAACGATTTTTGTTTTTAAGTGAGAAAAAACATATCTTTATTATTGATTAAAAAAAATGCATGCAATTTTATATTGAAAAAATTATTAAAAAATATATGAATGTGTATATATGATTGATTATATTTTCTGTAGAAACTGATTGTTATTTTCTAATCAATATTTTTATGATAAAAAAAATTGTTTATTCAATACCGTATCACTCGGTAAGTGATTATTATTTTTAATCGAATCCAACAAACATCAAAGGTTGATTTGAGTTCTTTACTATATGTCAAGCATAACTTTCAGATAGAAAATGATATATAATGATTGTTACACGACTTTTTGGAAAACATAATTATCGACTGCAAATACTGCTAGAGATTTGTTGTGATTACAACAATGCAAATCGCAGAAACGTAATTCTTGTTTATTGGCCATCATCAGTACACTATAGCCAAGTGTCCAATGCAATAATGGGTAACAGTTGGTTGAAGGACATATGGCCATAATGTCCTCGAGTTCGTGGCATTAACTATCGTCTCTGCGGAGTCAGCTTCAGCAACCTGCGTGACATCCGAGGCCAGCACATCATACAAAGATTGTTTTGTCAGTGAATTTCATATAAATTAATAAGAAAAAAAATCATTGACAAACCACTGGAGACTGCACACATTGCAGACATGTGCTTCTGGTTCACTTTACATTATCACTACTGTGTAGCAAAGTGCGAAAATGGAAAATATTCAGAAGCCAGCCGCATTTTGTTGTTAAGGATATTGCTAAGGATACCAATAGACATTCTGTCAGTTCTTTCGGTAAGTTTCTAAGGTGATGAATATTGAAAACAACAATCGTATCGGGAAACTTGGGAGAAGCAACAATAATGTAGCATCTGTGTTAGACAAACCTGAAATATGCATTGGAAGATTTGTCGATGCATATGGGGTTAATTAGCAGGCTCAGAAAAGTATTATTTTGTTCAAAACCAATTGAAGAATTACAAAGAACAAAAATGACGTACTTGCATTCTGATGAATACACGTTATGTCGGAGTCTGTGAGGGAACATACTCACATTCAGAAATTGTTGATATCCACTCAAATATCTGGGGGATGAGTAATATTAGTAGTTGATAATGATATAACTAATAATCACTTGCCACTAAAAATGAGAATACACAATTCCATTCCATTGAGAAAACTTCGCAAAAACACGATATATGTTTTTCCGTAAATTAGCTGTCGCCTTCATACGAACGACAACTCTCAGTAGTTGAGAAACTTGTGAGAGCTAAGGACTAACGAGGTCTTACCTTTTAACGTGTGATTGAAACAGAAAAATCCTCTCGGATATGTTTACTGATCTGCCACTGGAAAAAGGCACTTGTTATATTAAACACGTTTGCAGGAGCAAATAACAACCATTGTTATAAAAACTGAGGTTTTAACGTCCACCATCTGGGAAGTACTTACAAGGATAAATCGAAAGTACACCTCTGAAATTCCTTCCTAACCTCGATCATTGCCAACACATTTGACTGTTTATAAATTTGGCAAATTGTCCAAAACGCCTGTCAGTTCGGGCGTTTTGGACAATTGAAATGAAATATTTTGAGAAAATACCTTTTGTAATGGCAAGAAAACTTTTATCTGGAATCATACCCTTTTGATATTTCTATTAATGACGCAGTATATGTTATGAGTCAAATCACTTTTACTTCTTCAAAATTAGAATAAAAATACCGATTTTAAAGGTTTGTTCTCATTAGTAGATTTTATTGATCAATATAATTGAATCTATTCAGGTGGAATAAAATAGATTAATGTCAACATTCGTTGTAAGATAATTTTTCAATGTTGCTGCATTTCTATGAAACCAAAAAAAACTGTACAGAGAATTATGTTTGAATGATTATCGACATGCCCTTTAGATGAAAGGCTTAACATAGTACAAAGTTTTAGAGTTATATAAAGCAGAGGACTGTCTATGGAACATAAAATATGAAATTATAAAAATGTTACAATACTTTAAAAGCCACGAAAAAATATATTTTGGAAAGGTTTCTTTCCCAAAGCTATATTGAAAACAAAATCAGAGTATTCTGACTACGAATACGCACTCAACATTCAATTTAACTGAATCATGTGAGCAAATTTCCCATTAAATTTTATATTCAATGGCACAAAGTCAATGATATTGATCGACAAAATTGACCAACGAGAAGCCGGCTCAAGCTTACATCTAATCGTTTTGAAACCTGTCATCATATGTTGGGCAGATTTCAAGTAGCCATTTTCATGCATAGGTTTTACAGATTGGGAAAATATTCAAGCAACCACAATCTCTTCCTTTGTAATTCAGTAACTATTTGCCCTGTTAGTCCCCCTTCAAACTGCCGTGTAAATGTGGTTATTGTTTCAAAACTAGATGGAGCACTTCCTTTTTTTGCAGAACGCCTGTGAACCTAAAGACGGTGGTAACTGTCTTTAGGTTGTCGGTGGTAACACTTCAATGAAATGAATCAACACACTTTCACTGATTTTCACTGGTTATTACATCTTTATGACAGGTTTCGGGTTTTGCCTCATCATTAAATATAAAACTAACTATTACATTAGAAATCTAAAAACGCGAGTATATATGGAGTTTGTAGGAATGCTGAATGGGGAGGTGACTAAATGACTAGAGGTGCCAACTATAAAAATTCAACATTGGAAATTATAGAAATTATTGGGGTCGTCAAACTTATATCAGAAGTATAACACCTGATATGCTACAGAATGTTAGGAATAGATTTGAACAAAATCTGTATTATTGTATGGAAGCAAATGGGTCACATTTTTAGCTCTTGCCGGTGTAGGAATCTATTAAGTCAACTACACATTTGAAAGTGCTGGGTTGTAGTTGTTTTTCTTCATAATACCTACATGTTTGAAATACAACAAATTAGGTATCATTAGAAAGATAATTTTGTGCCCTTTCAAATGATATATCACTCGACCTCACTTTCCATTTAAAATTTTAGGGTTGTCACTCACCTTCGCTAGGGGGTTGAAGGCACAGGTAGAAAAATACATCTAAAATGTGTCCTCCTCAAAAGCAAAATTGACCTGTCCGAGCATTTTTGCGTTAAGTTACAAAAAAAGGAGAAAAGCAAGGTGCATACTTTTCGTTGGACCACTCTGTATGTATATCTGATTCAGTGGTATATATTAGAGTGTGCAGAATGCTCTGCAGTATATAAAGGCCAAATTGGTATACATTTTGACGTAACATGTCCTTTTGGACAACAATTCTACAATGCATGAAGAATCAAAACACAAGTGAGTGAAGATAATTTCAAAATTCTACACATATGTAATGAAGATAAGAAAATGATTTTGTTGGAAGTCATAGAAATTGAGAATTCAATTAAAAACCCGAAATAGATAACTATAAACGAGCACCTTGATTTATGAAGGTTTCCACTCTTGAATTCATGAGTTTGAAAACCCGGATGATTCCTATAATCTCCAGTGTTGAATTTTCATGGCACCCCTGTTCATTCAATTACCTTCCCATCCAGCTCACCTAAAAACTCCCTATATTTGTAGATTTCAAATACATTAGTTAGTTTCATACTAACCGATCGTAAAAATAAAATAACTAGTGGAAATTACACAAGTGTTTTCATTCATTTCATTAAATTTCCACAAAATAAACAAGTGATCAATTACACAAATTCAATCAGATCAATGATATACACATCGGAATTTGTAATTTATTCAGCATGTCAATATAAATGAGCATATTTCTACAGTTTTCTGAAACAAAGACAAGATCTTCTTATATAAGTGAAGGCAATTACATCCCCTCTTATTTACGCAGACGCCTAGTTTGGGATCGACATAAGATTCAATTCGTGGATATCATCCATGCCGTGCTGAACTCAATTGTTATAAAAAAATAAGCTTGAGTTGATAGAAACGATGACATTCACCTTTTTTTGCAGTGGTTCAAGAGATGACATCACAAGAAGACATTACACATTTCCTTTATAAAAACGAAAATGGAGATATTCTGGTAGAAGATTTAACAATTCCAGCAGTTAACTTGACAGCCTCGGCTTCAGATGTGACTTTCAATTTCTTCTGTAAAAAGAACTCCAGAAGTAGCATTGATATTCGCAGTAACGAGATTTCATTGTTGAAGGAAACTGACTTCAACGTTAAAAAAGACACGCTATTTATTATTCACGGTTGGAAAAACTCACATGAGTCAAACGTGAATTCTCTTATAAGAGAAAATACATTGAACGGTCACGATATCAATGTTTTTGTGGTTGACTGGAGTCCAATTGCCAGCAAAACCTATATATCAGCTCAGGGATGTGTTCCTAAAGTTGGTGGATTCGTAGCTGACTTTGTGAGGAGTCTGCAGCAAAACTTCAAATTGAATTTGAGCAAAGTCAAGTTTGTGGGTCATTCTTTGGGTGCACATGTTTGTGGTTGTGCAGGAACGGCTTTGGGTGGTCAAGTTAGTCGTATCGTAGGTAAGATTAAATCTATTTTATTTTTTGTAATATTTAAATTTGTGTGTTGTTTGGTTGTTGTTATGTATTATTTCTTTGTAATTTCAGTTTTTGTTTGATGAAATTGTTATTTTCGGTTAATTTTTTTAAATTTTTTTCAGTGTTATCAAATCAATTCATGTTATATTAGACAATGGAAGTCCGAACTTATGAAATGTATGTACTTAAATATGCAGCTGAAAATTATACTTCGAATATAGTAGGTCTGCTGGTTGGAACAGTATCATATAGAGTTGATGCCACTCATTATTCACTACACATTATTCATTCCGAAATTTCATTAGGCCTGCATTCTTTGGTTACTTAGATTGTTTTTGCCAAATATCTGTCATCTGTCTAAAACTGGCGATCTCAAATTGTCAAAATTTGTGCTAACTGAGAACCAACAAGTTCTTACATACGATTCCTGACTCACATTCAAAGATTTTCGAATCTTGTAAAACGGGTCCATATTTAGAACAGAAGGAAATTTAATTCAGCATTACACAAATCAATTAGTTTCCCGGAAAGGAAACTTGAGTTACGAATAAGTGATTACATTGGATGTTTTCAATGACAAATTGTCATTGAAATAAATAAATACGAGCACAAATAATGACGATAAAATTAAGAATAGACAGAACCCTCTATTGGTTCATAATTGGCTGTGTTAATGATACACCAGTAATTCATAGTCGAAAAGATCACTGAAAATATATTAAAATTTTGGAAAACTCCCTATTTTACTGAATTACCACCTGTTGAGAAGGTTATTTTGATCACAGTACTTTCTGTTCGAATTATGGTTTATCTATTCTAAAATTGAGGAATTCTCGACATTGGAAAGCTTGATTTCAACACAACGAAAAAAATTTTCTGACTTATTTTATTCTTTTTCCCAGGTTTGGATCCAGCTGGTCCACTCTTTTCACTTAGTAACAAGGAAAATCGTTTGGATAAATCCAGCGCAAAGTATGTGGAAGTAATCCATACCAATGGTGGTATGTTGGGTTTCAATGACCAGTTGGGACACTCAGACTACTATCCTAATGGAGGTAGGACACAACCAGGTTGCGGTGTGGATTTAACTGGATCCTGTTCCCATAGTAGATCCTACGAGTATTATGCAGAATCTCTGAGCAACAACAGATTTGAAGCGAGAGAGTGTGGGAGTATCAAAGACTACACTAGTGGAAAATGTAACAATGCCAAACGCTCCTTCATGTGTCCATTCATCCTCGACACAAGGTAATGATTTTGCATCTTACATGATATTTGGAGATTGCCGATTATTTCATAATATACATTTTTTGCAGTGCACATGGAAAATTCTTTTTGGAAACTAACAGTAAGTCACCGTTCGCCAAAGGATAACTTTTGATGTCAAATGATGGATGCTGATGTTGGTAAATTTCAGTAAAGAGTGATTCTTGTACTAGTTTTTTCATTTTCATTTCGAATAAAAAGAGCTTTGAACTATTGTCTTTTAGTATATAGAAAATTTGAGGATTGCAAATTATTTGTCAAATATTGTTCTTGGTTCTCGAATCAACAAATTTTAAGTTGATAACACTTGTCGCAGTTTTCGGACAGGTTGGTGAGAAAACTCAAGGTTTTATTCACAAAAAAAAAATGTTTATCTATCAGTCGTATTTAATAATCTTGCCTATCAAAAAAGAGCTAAGATATATAGATCGTTGAAGGTGAAAATGTCCAAGCAGAGGCGATAAATGTTGGAAATGATGTTACCTTATTATCAATGTTGATTATATGTTTTTGATATGTTATTCTATTCATAGATGATAATTAAATAATGAATTGTTAAAATATATGAAAATTATTTTTTTTGAAATATAATCAGAATATTATATTTTTCAAAAGGTTTCACCACGCTGTGGTAACAGGTTATCGCCCCTTCAGCCGTATAAGGAACATAACATCAGCAGACGTAATCAGTACATTTGATGTAAAGAAAAGTAAATTACTGTGACATACTCAATCAGTTATGTGTTGTGACAGCATTAGAACGTGAAGAAGATATACTTTGTATTTATTATTCATATACAGATGATTTTTGTAAAACTTCAGATTGAGCCCTCCGATTTTGAAATAAATTTTGGTTGTACTCAAGTATTTCAAAGTGTAGATTACGAATCCGAAAAAAAGGTGCTCTAAGCCTTCCAAAGGTGCGAAAACTGCAACTTTCCATTTTTTTTGCACAATACAAACTATAGAATATTCAGCACATGATCTTTACATCGTATTTTGCCTTCTTCGACACTTTTCAAGTTTCCTAATCAACATTTTTCAAGGTTATATGAGAGTGAAATTTCCCAAAAAGGTAACTGTCACCGACTACAATGTACGATTTGAATGTCCGTTCTGACGTGAGCTATTTATAAAAATCCTCAATATGAATTTTAACGAAATTTCAAATTTAGTCAAAGTGAGGGAGAATTTTTTCATCTATTCAGTTCAAGTTGAAATATTCGCAGCAAAGATACGTTGTATCAATTGCAATGGAGAATGCAAATTGAATTATGATACTTTTCTTTACATACGAAACAAAAAAGAAGAAAAAAGACAGAATCATCAGTTGTAAATCTACCAAAACTGTTAAATAGAGAATCAAATTTTCCCTTACGTTAAACGAAATGAATAACGAAGAACAACATTTTGTTGTATTCATCTTATTTATACAAAATAGTAAAATTAGTTACTTGTGCCATTTTTAAGGTTTATTGAACAGTCACCCACTGTGATTGAATTCAGCATTACACA